TATATATATATATATATAAATCAATAAAGTATAAACAAATAAAGGAATTTGAATATGAAGAGATGAATTTTGAAATAAATGTAGTTTTCCCGTCAAAAAGTTTCTAAGATTAACAGGTCTATTTATAATTGGTTTTATAAAAATGTGACCGTAAGAAATTTCTTGATGATGATTCACTAAATTCACAAAATCCGTTAATTACAGTATAGCACGAATGATGTCTCAAACATTCATCATTCAAAACAAGAAAAAGTAGGATCGAGTTAATTTACCTTGGAGATTGAAGAGTGGCACGAAGCAGCGTGTGAAGAAGCTTGATGGAGCGAAGGAGCCTACCCGGCCACGAGGACCGAAACGGAAGAGTCGCGATCGGGAAGACACTGCATCCACAACGAGCGTGCTACCCTGCATTCACAGCACAGTGAGTTGAACACTGAAACACACCAAAAACGAATCGAAAATAGTTTTTGTTTTATGACGAATTGTTACGTGTCGATGAATGGAGGCGCAGGGGAATGCGGGGAATGAAACGACGCGTTTCTTGATTGCTCGGAGCAACGCGCGAGTCACCATTGTTTCTTCGGATATGGCTTCGTAAGAAACAGTGATTAAGCTTAAGGGAGGAGTGGGAGTGTCATGTGCGTTGGTGACGACGCCTCAGAAAATAAATTAGGGTACAATTTAAAATTTAGAATAAACTTTTAAGATCGGTCCTTGAGAGCCAATCTTAAAAGTGATTTAGTGGTATTTTTGTAAATAAGATTACAATTTTTAAGATCGGTCATATTTTAGCCAATCTTAAAAATCGGCTAAAATGTGACCGATCTTAAAAGTTGTAACCTTATTTATAAAAATGTCACCGCATCATTTTTAAGATCGGCTCTTTAGTAACAGATCTTAAAAGTTGTAACTTTATTTAAAAAAAAATGTCATCGTACCACTTTTAAGATCGGCTCTTTAGTACCGATCTTAAAAGTTGTAACTTTATTTACAAAAATGTCATTGTTTCACTTTTAAGATCGGCTCTTTAATGACCGATCTTAAAAGTTGTAACCTTATTTACAAAAATGCCACCGCGTTACTTTTAAGATCGGCTCTTTAATGACCGATCTTAAAAGTTATAACCTTATTTACAAAAATGCCACTGCGTCACTTTTAAGATCGACTCTCTAATAACCGATCTTAAAACCCCGATCTTGAAACTAATTTTTGTACTAGTAAAATCATTTAATTAATCAAAATATTCTTTTAATAATTTTAAAAAATTTGAGGTGTTACACAAAGACTTTTGTAACCTTTCATAACTTTAATTTAATAGTTTTTTATTTTTATTTAAAAGGTTAAAATTATCTAAAATAAAGTACACACCAAAATAGAAAGTCCCCTTTATATATAGGTATAAATAACTATTTCATTTTCCATATTATCAATATACTTTCATGGTTTAATTTTTAAAAGAGTTAATTAAAAAATATCATATTATATGTGTTAGCATGATTTCAATTATTTTATGATCAAACTTCTACGACTCTTTTATCTAATTGCATGAAGTATGATTACATTTTGCATAATAATATATATTTTTTAATTAAATAATTTTGATTAAAGATAAAATGACCTATTTTTGTGATGTTGCAATAATTAATAAATATAAATTTTTATCTATATCTAATATAAAATTTATTTTGCATTTTTTCTTTGTACGCATTTTCATTTTTTTTTCTTCCAATTTGACATAGAGTTGTTTAAATAATAATTATTCAAGTAACAAAGTTAAGAAAACACTCATGCTACTAGTTTATTATTAATAAAAAAATTAACTAATTCTTCGTGCATGCGGATTAAAAAAACTAGTTAATTATTACTTGACTTAGCCACAACAGTGGTCTTCGTCTAGCTGTGTTTTTCTATTACTAATGGTGGATTTCAAATATTTTAGAGATGCGTAGCTTTTGGATGAACGCAACTTGGAAGAGAAAGAACTCTTTTTCGGGGCTTTAACTTTTCTGGTTTAGGTTAACGATGAGCCACGATGATATCGCGATTGATATTAGGTCGATGCTGGAGAGAGCGGAGCCACACGTAACTGATGAGTGTTGCATCTACCGAGTGCCCTTTGGTATTCGCAGACTCAACGAAGATGCCTACACCCCAAAGGTTGTTTCCATAGGTCCTTTTCACCACAACAGCCATCCTCGCCTCCAAAGCATGGAAAATTACAAACTCCATTATTGCAAAACATTTCTCGCAAGAACCCAAAGAAGTTTGGACGACTGGATCTGCTACATAGAAGAAATAGAGTTACCTTTCCGTCGCTGTTACTCAGACCCCCTTGAGTTCAGCAAAGAAGATCTGGTGAAGATCATCTTCGTGGATTCAGGTTTTATAATTGAACTCTTTTGGAAATGTTATTATGATGAATTGGCAAAGGATGACATGTTTATTAGAAATCCTTGGTTGTTCACTAATATAAAATTAGATCTCTTGTTACTTGAGAACCAGCTTCCTTTTTTTGTTCTCGATAGTCTCTTCAATAGTTGTATCTCCTCCCCTAGTTCAATAATCCCTTCTTTTATTGAGCTTACATTTGAATATTTTGCGGATTTCAATAGATCCAACTTGCTTTATGATAATGTTCGCATAAGGCACTTCACGGATCTCATAAGAACTTTTCACTTACGATCTGAGCCTGGACCCCCTAGGCATTTGGAATTAGTGAAACATCTTCCTAGTGCTACTGACTTGTTAGAAGTTGGAGTGAGGTTTAGGGCAAAAGTCAAAAGTACCTGCTTACTAGACTTGAACTTTTCGAAAGGGGTTCTTGAAATCCCACAGTTGATAGTGGAATATTGGACTGAGCCTTTGTTTCGCAATATGATAGCTTTGGAGCAGTGTCACTACCCTTTCGAATCCTATATTACAGACTATGCTAATGTAATGGACTTCCTTGTAAACACTAGCACGGATGTGGATATATTGATTAAAACTGAAGTACTAGTTAACCGGCTTGGGGATACTATTCCTGTGGCTAACATGTTTAATGGTCTTTTAAACAATATTACGCAAACAAGTGGCAATCCCAGTTACCTTGCAATCTGCCGAGAGTTGAATGCTTTTTATAGAAATCCTTATCAGCATTTGAAGTGGACTCTGAGGCGTGATTATTTTAGAACTCCTTGGCAAACTGCTGTTAACATTGGTGGAATTTTTCTCCTTATTCTCACTTTGGTTCAATCGGTTTGTTCCGTCTTGCAAGTAATACAGCAATTTGGGGTAAATCCAATTATTCTTAAATGCTGAACTATTCTGATTTTTTGTTGTTGTTATTTTCAAAAAAAAAAATTTGTCAGAAAATGTTTCAATGATTTCCTTATTTCAGGTATTGTAGCAGATTAATGGTTCTTTGCAAATTCACTCAGCAGTACGGAATGGATGCTGCTCTTTATGTCTAGGTCTATGGGGCAAAATGTGATCTCAAGCCAGCTCCAGGGTTGCGAGATAGCTAGTTTAATTTCATTAGTCTGTTTCCCAAGTAAACCAGAATGTTGTGTATCTCTATTGTTCTATGATTTTCATTAGAATGTTGTATAAACCATTCATGCAACTTACAGAGGCTAGCGTGTTTGCTCCCACGTTTGAAACTATGAAACACAAACCTTAATTCTTAAGCCAACGCAATTTCAGCTTGAAAATATTTTAATATCTTTAATTTAACAATTATTTTAATATCTTTAATTTAACAATAAGTGAATTCTTGAAGTTATTTTTGTGTAATCATTTTTTTTTACAGATGTGTGTAATCATTTTAATAATCGAAGTAAAGACAAAAAATAAAACGAGCTATTTTCCTCTATCCCTTAAATTTCAAAACAATTATTTTAATATCTTTAATTTAACAATAAGTGAATTCTTGAAGTTATTTTTGTGTAATCATTTTCTTTGAAAATTTATATATTAGGTTAAGTTTGATATATATTGAATGAGATATTGAATTATTTCAAAGTCATATAAAATTTTGTATATATGATTAAGAGTATGGATGTGTCACAACCTATTTTTCACATATTGTATGAAGGTCCAAAGCCTAATAATGTGATTTAGTAGTCCAGAACGGGTCGTTCCAAAATTGGAACAGGCAGTTCCAAACTACTAAAATAAGTGTTATTTAGTAGCCCAGAACGGGTCGTTCCCAAAATGGAACGGGCCGTTCTAGACTACAAAAATAACCTATAACCCTTGTTGTGGATTCAGAACGGGTCGTTCTAGATTCAAAACTGACTGTTTTGGATTCGGAACGGGTTATTCCAAATATGGTCGTTGTGAGTTAAAATGTAATCCCAGAACGTGCCGTTCTGGTTGTAGAACGAGCCGTTCTGGATGAGAATTTTACACATGAGGTAAAAGTCCAGAACAGACCGTTGCGGATTTGAAACGCCCGTTCCAGAGACTCCTGATGTTTATAAATAGAGCTGTCTGACACTCTCAAAAGCACACTTTTCACTTCTCTCTTCTTTTCTTCTTTGCCCTCTTCTTTTCCTTCTACACTCTCTAAAGACGAGAGAAACTCAGAGGAGGAGACCAATGAGATCCCTGCTTTAGTTTCAGCTACTACTTATCGAGGTACGAGGGAAAAGGAAATTATTTATATGTAAAGTTACATGAGGGAATTAGGTAGAGGAGGAAGCCCGTAGGATTATGAGTAATTTTATAATTATTTCTGTTTGAGAAATTGATGATCCTATTAAATTTTGTATGTATTAAGGATTAGGAATATGCCAATAATTTGTAAAAATGATGATCTGGGAGTGAGAACGAAATTGTAGAAAAATGTGCATGTGAGTTAGGTTTTGGAAAAATTGGGGGTTTTACTGTTTAAATTAAGATTCTATTAAATTGGTGATTTAGTTGAGTATTATATTAATTTATAAATGTTATTGTTATATTATATGATAAAAATTGATGATCTAGATGTGAATTCATGGTGAATTACTTGAGGGGTATGTGAACAATTATTTTGTTGGACTTGTCTGTTGTGTGGAATGTGAATGTGATGTGATTGTGGTTCCTCACACTTATGACCAAGGGTGAGCACGACCTTAGGCAAGAAATGTTACATGGGTACCGTGACCTTGGATAACATGTCAGAGGTGAGCACGACCCTGGGCTAGATATGCTACAGGAGTAACGTGACCATGGCACAATGTTATATCAGGGGTGAGCACGATCTTGGGCAAGAAATGTTACATGGGTACCGTGACCTTGGATAACATGTCAGGGGTGAGCATGACCCTAGGCTAGATATGCTACAGGGGTAACGTGACCTTGGCACAATGTTATATCAGGGGTGAGCATGACCTTGGGTTGCTACAGGAGGTGGCGTGACCTTGACATAGTGTGAAGTGCAAGATTTGTGATAATTGGTGTGATTGCGAATTGTGACGTGATGATGATGCATGATTGATAGAATTAGGATACATTGAAATGTTTATGAATATTTTATTAAGTATCAAGTTATAATGAGATGATATGTTGTGTTTTCCTTATGTGCTTTACATATAGATATTTTTTTTCTCACCGTATAATTTGTGGATGTTTTAGGGGAGGGAGATCTGACTTTGAGTGACATCTAGAATGTCAACAATTGAATTGTGGGTGTGCTCTGGTATTGTGACATCGAAGCAGAGGATTCTAGGATATAAATTTTATATGTATTTGGAGTTGTACCTTTTCTTTTGAAAATAATTTGTAAACTCTTGAGTTTTACTTTTCAAGTTTTATTTTAATTATTTTGGATATTGAAGAACAACTATGATTGTTTTATGTGAACCCTTTTATCAACGTTGAAAATTTTATTCGTTAGTTTTAATTACATTATTACAATATATGTGTTGGAGTAGTAAGGGTGTCACAATGGAACTTTTAATCTAATGGAAAATTTCAAAAAAATAATCATTTAATTAAAAGTTATTGGGTGATATAATATATTAGTTAGTAAAAGTTATACATGTCTTATTTGATTCCTCCCCGTATATATAGGAGAGGAATCAATTGACATTGATATAACTTTTATCAACTATTATAGCGTTCAATAACTATATATATATATATATATATTATATGAGTCAGTATCAGTTAACATCAGATGTAGTTTAAATACTTACACTAAATCTTTTAACTTTAATAACTTATTGCATAATGAAAATTTAATTGATTTGATCTTTGAATCATGTTATATTATACTTAAGATCATATATTTCACATTTTGCGTGATTTTAACTTTTTTAGATATGTTATCCAAAATTGGATATTTATATATATTTTAAATGTTACATTATATGTTAAAATAAAATGATGTGATGAAATAATAAAGGTTAAAATACTTTTTTAGTCCCTATAGTTTCGCTTACTCTACCTTTTAGACCTTATAGTTTAAAATATACATTTTAAAATCATATACTTATCTGTTTCAATACTTTTTAGTCCGTATAGTGTAAGATAAATCTTTTTAGTACCTATATTTGTAGGGTTTTTTAATCCTTTTAGTCCCTAATGTTAATTTTTTTGTAATCTTATATTTTTTGTGTTGACATAACCGATGTATTAATTTAACTTTTTTGTTTCATGTCATATTTATTTTATTAAAATTACTCAAAATTAAAATTTTCAATGTTTTGTGCTTCTTTTATACTCTCACTGCACTTTTGAAACTTTTTTTTACCCACAAAATTGAAGATACTTACCACAATAATATAAATCAGACAATATTAAAAAAAAATTAGTGATAGTGGATAAGATTAAAAAACTACAGGTATAAAAACTAAAAAGATCTACATTAAATTATAAGGACTAAGACTAATTAGAAAAATAAGTATAATTAGTATTAAAAAAGTCTATTTTTAACTATAAGAATTAAAATGTAAAGTAAGTGAAACTATATGAATTAAAAAAGTATTTTAACTAATAATACATAATTTTAGAATCATGTAAAAGGTAATACACATGATCTTGAATATAACATAACATGATTCAATGATTAAATAAGTTAAATTTACATTATATAAAAAGTTATTTAAAATATAATATTTGATGTAAATGTTTAGACTTACACTTTGTGTTCATGAATCCTCACTCACATGTACATCATATCTTAGTATTATACTATATTATGTTCTATTTCATTAAGTTTTGACCAATTTAAAATTTCATTTTATATCTTGTATTTTTATTATACACTAATATTTTAGCATGTATAATATAAAACATTTAAGATTAAACATTTAATATATATATATAAAATTAAAATTGATAATAAATTATATATAAATAAATATATAAATTATATTGATAATTTTGTAAATAGATATTCTTAAAAAATATAAATTATATTTTAGATTCATGATATTATACCATAATATTATTTTTATTTATTAATAATTTTATTTAAAAATATTAAATTTAATTTATAAATAATTATAATCAAACAAAATTGAATTAGATAAGAAGTTAATAAAAAATCTCTAAAAAATCTTCTCTATGAAAACTCCTAAAAATGCTCTAACATAAATAGGAATTTGTATTTAATATATAATAATTTATTTTCATGTTTTATTTTTTAAAGTAAGATTTATAGAAAAATTACATAAAAATATAAATTTGGATTTAGTTATTAATCCTAACAATAAGAAAAATTAGACTAATCGAGTCCAGTTTTCTTCTACCGGTTAACTTCTAGATTGACCTAGTATAATCTAAACAGCTTCAAATAAGATTTACTAAGTTCTATCTTGAAACCAAATCAGTTGGATAGTTAAGAAAATGTTGGAAGATATTAGTTTTTATTCTTCTGAAATTGACATACTGAAATATATAACCTTTTCTTATTTATAAACACTTTTAGTTTGAGAAGTGATTATTTATAAGTAAATATAAAAGAGATATAGAATTTGGGTATACAAATTTTATAACTTGACAATTTTCTTAAATAATATTCACTATTATTTAATTATATATTTTAAATAAATATTATAGGCATGTGGTACATCTTTTTCCTATTATAGTTATTGCCAAATAATTTTAAAGTTCTATTTAGGTATGGCAACAGGGGAGGGCGGGAGTGGGTTTTATGTTTCTCGCCCCCGTCCCGCAAATTTAAACCGTCTCATCCTTGTTCCTGATATCTGCTGGGGTAAAATTTGGGTACCTATCCTCGTTCTTGGCGGGGTTCAGGTTTTCTCGTCCCACCCTTACCCTCGCTCCTACCATTTTTTTTCTTAGATAAATATGAATAAATTTTAAAAAATAAAAGAAAAGTAAAATAATATAAATTTTTACATATAAATATTTTTAATTTGGTTTATATATATATATATAAATAATTTTTTTAATTATATTATTAAGCGGAGTGGGGGGCAGGTACGGGAACAGGGACGAGGAGTCGAGGACAAGGATAGGGCGGGTATTAACATCCCTATCTCTGCTCCCGCTCCCGATTTTATCAATCAAAGAAAATCCAAACCCAATAAACACGCATTTTCCCCATCTAAATTGAGACGGGTACTCACGGGACAGGTTAAATTGTTATACCTAGTTCTATTCAGAATAAAAATCAAAAAATAGTAATTTTTTTTTTTATCAACAAACACACTAATAATTATAATAAAGAGTTTAAGATTTGAATTTGTCCAATTTTATCTCTATAACTACTCCTTTATAAATCACATTTTTTTAAATATCACTTTATATCCATCCATACTTTTAATTAACCACAATCATTATATAATTTTTTATTTTTAAATTTTTTGATAGAGACACAAAATCTTTTATGCGCTAGTTATTATATATTAGTGAGGTCAAAATATTTCATACTTTTATATTTTATTTAATAAAAGGCTTTAAAAATTATTGATGTTTGTTTGATTAATTGCTATTGTACTTGATTCTAAAATTTCAAGGTCTCATGCTTGTAAGGATAATTTATTTTTAATATTATTTAAAAAATTAAGGGTAAAATTATTAAAAAAAAAAAAATGTATATAAAATAATGTTATCAACTAAAAACTATGTATACTAAATAAATTATCATCTTTATATATGTTATAGATTAGTAAGGAATAGAGACAAAATGCCTCTTAAGTTTTAAAAATTCTAAATAAATAAATTAGAGATAAGTTGAATGGGTAGTTGTGGCTGGTTAATTAGAAAATATAACTTGTTATTTCATTTATTTTTTCTTAATAAATGAGGGTATAATAATTTATTAAAAGTAAATAGTTATTTATCATGAATTTCCTTATAATAGACTAGTCAGATTAAAATACTCTATGTTTAATATTTTATTTAATAAAAAATATTTGAAAATTATCAATATTTCTTATATTAACTGGTGATGTGCTTGATCCTCAATTTTCAAAGTTTGAAATTTGAGTTTTGTGTTTGTAGAAATAATTATTTTTTAATATTTTTATTAAAACATAATAATAAAATCATTTAAAAAATTTATACATCAAATTAGACTATTGTCTATATATATTAATAGAAAAAAAATATTTTATATCTTTATATTTATTATTTCTATATATTAAAATAGTTGTAGAAAAAAATCAAAATTTGAAAATAAGTAATCAAATAGAGTATTTTTAAAAATTAAGGATAAAATTATCATATTAAAAGTGAAAAAAAAAATTACTAAAATTTATTCTTTTTATAATAGGTATAGATATATATTAAAATACTTATAAAAAATTAAAATTAAAAAGGATAATTACCGTATTCTAGGTATCGACTATAAATATAGATAAAAAGAAATATCCTTTTTTTAGTTTTTACTTTTAAGAGAAGATGATATTGTTAATGGGTTAGCACAAACCATCTATTTATTTTTCAATAGAGATTCAGAGTGCATCTTTTGTAACTATTTTTCTATTAATTAAATAAACATTTATTTAATTATCATCAAATAATTTAAAGCTTCTGTACAGAATATATTTCTTTCATAAATATAGTTCGGCCGTCCTTGTTACGGTGATTCTATCTACGTTGACCTGTTGGTGTTGACGAATTTGCCAGCCTATCATAACCATAACGTAGTCGTGATTTTCGCTCCTCAGTTCACACAATCTCGTTAAGATTCTCTTTTCCTTTTGAATCTCTTTCTCCATTCACACTCTTTTTATACGCTTTCTCTTTCTTTTTCTCCCCTCACAGAGCACTATGGCCGTCACCGTGAAACTAATGGCCCTCACTGTTACCTTTTTCGGTCTCTTGTCTTTCATCCTCGGAGTCATAGCCGAAAACAAAAAGGTAATCCAATTGTTTATTTATTGATCTTTCTAAATTTAACTGTCAGTGTTGGATCAACTATCTATACATATTTATTATTTCAAACTAGTTGATTGGAGCCAAAGAAATTCAGCAGCACATTGTTGTTAGGCAAAAATTAGGATTCGATTATTGACCATGTGTACGGAAAAAATTAGGCAAGACTCACTTTCTAAAAGACTACGAGTTTTATAAACATGTTATTAGCATGAAATATTGTTGATTATGAGTTTGATAATTTATTGGTACGCATATTTATTGATTTTGTGTCGAAAAATTTGACCACTTTTAATAATTAATATTTCACTGGTTGATTAATCCACAACATTTGGACGCAAGACTTTATTTAAGGGATATCACTCTAACCAACCACCCTGTTTAAAGTTGTTAGTGTTTGATTAAATAGACGTGAAATTTTAAATATTTGTTTTCATAATATATGCACATAATTATTTACAGCCTGCGGCTGGAACGCCGGTAGCCAGCAAGGATGGTGTGACGTGCAAGTTTCCGGGTGATCCAACAGTAGCACTGGGGTATCTTTCTGTAGCGTTTCTTATTGCTTCCACAGTGGCTGGATATGTCTCTCTGTTTTACCCTTACAAAGGAAAATCTGTGCCACAAGGAGTTCTGTTTAAAAGCACAAGTTTCGCGGTATTCTTCAATATTGCATTGTAAGTAGTGTTTCTTTGTGTTTTTCTTATGTTTAATTTTGCACGTGTTTTTCACCCCTTTTTATTCCTTGTTCAGATAAACAAAAGATAGATATTTGATTAGCCTGGGAGAGGGTTATGTTAGTATCCTGTGTGAGTAAAATGCTGGACCTGTTTTACTTTGTTAATGATAAACTAACTCCTCAGTTTAGGGTGGATCGAGTATTTTCTGTTTTCCTCAATGAAAGGCTATAACATGATTCTTCTAGGGTGGCTTCTGTAGTGGATCTCTTATTATTCTTCTTACTCTGGTTTCATGAATCATTGTGTACCCACCAAAATACTTATTTTAAAAATAAGCCTGTTTTGGTCGATGTAAGTGTAAAATGCATTTACTTAGTTGACAGAATATCAATGTTCTTTAACTATTGGAGTTCATTATTTAAACATTAAAAAAAATTTAATACCACACGTAACATCAGATACAATTATTTATATGTATCTCTTACTTTTTGTTTTCACTTTTTAAAAGTACACCCTAAGATCAAATCACACGACATTTTGTCCCATTTTGATGGTAATGTAAAACATTTTTGTATCATCTATTTCTTGGGTAGTAGTAGTACTACCCGTTAAACATCTGGCAGCAGTGATATAAAAGATTTGACTACTCTCTGCTATCATTCTATGCTCATGTACCCTACCAATTTATATTCTATTATTATTTTTTCTGCCATATTCATTTCCTTATCTCTATCTTCCAGTTCCTGCGGAATGATTTTTCTTCCTATGATTGTGTATTTACTTAGGTTTTCGACTGGACTAGCTGCAACTTTGCTGTTATGGCCAACAATCACTGAACAGCTTCACCTTTCACGCAATGTGCACCATGATCTCAAATATACTTGCCCAACTGCTAAAACTGGTCTCCTTGGAGGCGGTGCTTTTTTATCCCTTGATTCATCCCTCTTTTGGTTGATTGCCCTTATGTTAGCTGGCAATGCTCGAGAGGATTTTTTGGATGAAGACAAGGATGATAAAGTTGATATTGAAATTTCCACAAATCCTAATCATGCAGATATGATCATATAGCAGTGAAACTAAATGTAAGTGCCAGAGTTGTGTATTGAGAATAAAATTAGAAACATCATACTGCTTAGCTAGTTACTTTGTCATTGTTTTCAAATGTGTTGATGAAGTATAGATGTAAATATGTTGTTCTCCTTTACACATCATTACACGAACTTGTGGCTGTTTAGGAAATTGCCTCCTGATCTCTGGCGATCTGTTTCTGCCTTCTTCTTTATCCTTAAAACACTTTTTTTAATGTTTTATATGTATAAAGAAGATGGGAGGTTATTTATGACTTAAAAGTTTAACCTAAGTTCTATATAGGCTAATTATGATGCATTTTTTTTCAAAATATTTTTTCTATTTTCTTTTACTTTGTATGGTTTGTTATATTGAAATTGACTTTGGTTGGTTTTTATATTTAGTTGATAGATTTTGTTGCTCCTGTTTATGCAGAGTTGCATGTGGAGCTATCTACTAAGTGGTGTTGAAAGATTTACGTACGTGGGCAATGACAATAAGGTTGCAATAGGATCTATAGGAACTTTTAGAATGCAGTTAAAGATTGGTTTTTCTATAGTTTTATTTGAGATATATGTTGCATATTCATTTATAAGAAATTTGATTTCTATTTTTATTTTGGACAAATTTGGGTTATTAGGAAACAATAAAGTTAATCTCTTTTATAAATCAAATAATGTTGGTTTTGTTTTTTATTTGTTTTTTTTATAATTCAAATATAGTCGATTTTGACTTTTAATTAATAATAACACATACAAGTTTGATATTGATAGTCCTTATCACATAATAGTGCAACTAATACACATGGTGCAAGTCACAGATTAAATGAGAATTCGGTTTCCTTATTGCAACAAGCATTTAGGATATATCTCAAAATTATTTTAGGCCTGTTGTGTTGGAGAATTAAGGGAAAATGAAAAAAAAAAAATGAGAACTTAGTCCATAAAGTTTAAAGATTTCTTAAAATTATTATTAAGCTAAATTGTATTTTTTTTTGCTATTTATCTTATTTTTTTAGATTTTTTTATATTTCTTTTATATATTAAAGTATTTATTCATTTTAATCATTTATCTTTTATAGTTTCATTGATTTGATCATTTAAAAACAATTATCATTTCTAATTATGTAACAAATAATTTAAGCGGATGCTAGATTGGAATTAGGTGGTCTACGTGAGTCATATCTCTCGAGAGATAAATTTAGTGGCCCATACTCTTGCTAATTGGGGTGTTAAGAACTTGGGTTCCTCCAGACTTTGTCCTGTTAACTTTAGAGAGAAACTCAGTGTCTTGATTGTTTTTTTGTTCTTTTTAATTTTTCATACTTTACCAAAAAAAAAACTTCATGGTGTATTAAAAATTATGAAATTCAATTGATATTTGAATTTCAAAAAAAAAAATTAAATCATGTTTTGACAATAAAAATAATCATTATTTTAAAAATACCAAATAACCCAAATTTAGAAGATAAGAGGCTTAAATGAATACTTTATTAAAAAAATAAAGGATTAAAACAAATTTTAAAAATAAAATAAAATACTTAAAATATAATTTAGTCTTATTATTATTATTAAGATTCACTTACTTCAATGAAAAATATGAGTGAAATTATTCTACTCAATTAATCATTATCTAAATAAAATTTCAACATTTGATGAATTAAAAACTTTTAATGAATAAATTCAATTTACAAGTTTAAAATTTTTATAATATATAATACTGTATCTTATATATTTATCATAGCATATAATTTTTTTATAAAATATTTATTAATTTAATCTATTCATTCACAATTTTTAATACATAAATTTTCATATACACGTATAAGTATACATTTACATTATAAATTATATTATAATTTCTATTTTATTTATTATTTTAATAAATTAAATTAAATTAAATTATATATTTTACAATTTTATTAAGTAAATTAATGAGTACAAACTAAGAGTATATTTGAATGCAAAATATAAATGGAATAATTCATTTTTTTTAAAATTTAAAATATTTTGGAGTAAAAAATCTTCTTTTGATAATTTTTTTTTTTTTAAAATTTAAAATTTAAACATTTGTAAAATTTTTGAAATAGTAAAATTTTAAATTCTTCTAAAAAAGAATAAGAATTTAAAATTTATTATATTTTTTCTTTTTTATCCCACACATATATATCTTTTATTTATCTCTCCTATCTCTTATTTTTCTTTTGCCTTTCATTTATTTTCATACTTTATTTTCTCTCTCTCCTTTCCTCTCTCATTTTTTTTCTCCGTAATTTCTTTCTTTATTCTCTCTAATTTTTATCTCTCCTATTTATGTATTCTCTCCATCTCTACTTTCTATTTTGTTTTTTCTTTTATTTATTTATTTATTCTCCTACCTCTCTTTCAAATTTGTCATAAAAAAGATATTTTTAAATTATTAAATATTTAAAAATAAGCTAATATTATTTTTATAAAATTTAATCTTAAAATCTCTCTCTTACATATATACATATATATAATATTAATTTTATCCATAATAGAAATCAAATCACCATAACAAACTGTTAAAAGAATGATAGAAACTAAACTCAAAATTCAAATTCCAAAAATTCTTCATCCAAACACACTAAAAACAACATTTTTAACATATTTCAATCAAATGCATATTTTAAAATTTTATAATGAATAATTTTTTTAGTGATGCTAAATTAAATACTCTAGATTATATATTTCAGTAAAATGAGAGATAATACATAATACTCTCTCTAAAGAGTAAAATTGTATTTTAACAAAAAAAAAACAATGATAATTTAAATATATCTGAAATGGTAACGTAATTTTATCTAAAATTAATTAGATTAGATGGATGCATTAAAGAGAATAATAGCAAATAATGTCTTGTTGTACAACAAAATTTTTCAGAATGAATTGTAATGAAGTGATAACCGAGAACCTCGCTCCCAAAAACTCTGTTCAGCTTTAATTCAACCTAAAAATAACCAAGAGGTATTTACTTTTCAACCTGGTTTGAAGTATTATAAACTTGTCCTCAAGTCTCAAGACTATGATAAACAGGTTTGAAGCATTATAAAGTTGTCCTCAAATATAAAAATACAAGCCACTAAACTAGAGCCCAACCCAGTAAGAACGTCCATTACTGTTGTGAATTGGGGACGACGAGGGAGAAGCAACACACCACTCATACCAAACCTGTTTCCGGTTCCATTGAGAATACATATCAATATTATAATAAAATGGATAAGGTAAGACAGGAAAAATTATGAAAGCAGCAGCTGCAAGTGAAATAAAATTAACCTTTGTAGAACCACAACACCGCCAGAAATGTACTTCAAGTGAAGAACCAGGATTCACACAAATGGGTTTCCTTAATGGGAAAAATATTGCAAACCTACAGAAGGCGAAGAAAATCTTTTAACATTTCAAAAGGGTCCGGGGAAATAAGACACGACTATTACTGCACTGTTTTCATTCTGAAAAGAGTTTAATAGTAGTGAAAAATGGCATAAAACATGTGTTAAGCATGGAGTTAATATGTATAATATAATTAAATAAATAATCCCCTAAATCACATGGACTATACAAAACATCTAATATTCATGTAGGAAAATCCTTTGATAACCATCTAGCAAAATAATACATCAAAGATCTAATGGATTCTGATCCTCAAATAAATGTAGTGATGTCATTCAAATTAAAGAACTAACGCCTTCAAAAAAATTCCACATCACAAAAAATGGAAGTTATTCAAACAGAAATTACAAACCACACATGATCATATTTACAATGGATTTAGAAAAAGGTCAATTTTTTTTTGGTCAATGTAATTCCTGCT